AAACCTAGATACTGAATGAACAGGAAGGGAACGAAAACCCAATCGATTAATAATGTCACAAGCACAAGAACTGTAAGCGGTGTTAAGGCAAGGTTTCAACTGAGGCACCAGAGGTGAAACAGAAATGTTTATAATCGCTCTCAGAAACAGGCAAATTTCACTGTTCATCGTGGTGGTGCCCTGCAGAATGGACGAGTGAGCCAGCAGAACTCTGTAGCGGGGAACCACTAGCATGTACTGACCATATGATCGTTAGTCTACTATACACTGCGTTGTAAATTAGCTGGTAATATGAGGTGCACAATGAAAGAATCTGAAGTTAATCATTTAATGGAAAAAACTTGGCAAAAAACACATCCTAATATGCACGGATCGTTTTCCGTTAAGATAAATAAATGGGTTAACCTGAATCGTACATTTGAACCCTAATACAAGATAGTTATAACTCCCAAAAACACTTCGGCGAATAACGTACCAACGTTCAATGACGTACGTGTTACGTCTCTACGCCGTCTCTGCAACCTTGGTTGACGTCCAGGGAATGCCAGGGATTCCTTTACTAACTTGTCTCCTGGGAAACTGTTCGCTGGCACTATTGTTAGCTGTATTAATTTCCAGCACAACTGATTCTTTAGCTGAATGTTTATAGGATTCTCTTGCTGACAGGTTGCAAATAACAAACAAATTCAGAGATAACGATGATTTAGGTAGAACGATGATAAGCGCAATGCAACATTATCACTGCACAAACCAGTTGGCATGAGGTGGATGTTGACGATTATTTTTTCAACTATTCAGTACGTCACTCGGGTAGTATCTATAAACGAATGGACTCATACGTTGATCAATTGCTGTTCCGTTGAGCCGTACGACCGTTGCAAACGACCGTATTGTACACGCACACTTTGCGGCCGTAGGTTGAGCGGCCGAACCGCTGCTGTATTCTCGCGTCTTCTTAACAGTTGCTCCTTCTTCCTGGCCGTATTTCCCGCGCTATAGTGATGTCTCGTGGCCGGTCTAACCGTAGAGTTTATGATGACCGTACTTCGGAATGGTGGTGCTCGTCTTCATAGTTGATGAAAATACTCATCAACTATGTCAATACACAGTACGACAACTCCGTTGTCGTACTGTGGTCGAGATGACTTGTGACCGTACCGCTTCTTCAGATGAAATTAGTGACCGTACTATTGATAATTTTTGTTGTCTCACGGCTGAGTCGCAGCCATAGTGTTGATGTTGATTTTCTTGACGTGTTCGCCGGACTCTTGGCTGCTTCGATAAGTCTGGGTTTCTCACGACCGTCAATGTTCGAAAGCGGTAACACCGCGGCCTCACGGCCGCAGCCGTCACGCCCGCTAACTGCAGACAGTACGTGCGCGACGGTCAACTCCTTAGAACCAACAACAACCCTTGGCGCCAATTCTGAGATCCTTATATAGGCTAGAATCGCGCACTGTTACGCCTAACCCTCGAACTGACGCGAAATTCCTTCGAAAGGAATGTCCCTCGCGCTGAGAGCCAACGTCCAATGTAAACAACCTTTCCCACGGTCTCGAACAACGGCACCGCATTCTTAGCATTCTTAACATCTATTCATAATACATGTTCAATATTACCTATGTTCAATATTACCTACTTTATTCAACACCATAAAATTACCGATTACACATAAATAGGAACCTACTAATTATGAATTAACTAATTTGCTATGAATAAAAATCTGAATAATTGAGTATTATACTAGCCTCGTGTATAGGGGTTCAGCCGCTTCAGAGGCATGCGCCGGCAAGTGCCCGAGGCGCGGCCGAGAGGGACAACGATGTGTTGATATCTTGGCTGGAGAAGTGGCTAGTAGCGCTGATGCAGCCATGGTGAGAGCATCTGTACCGCTCCTGTGAAGTATCTTGGGTCACGTGAATCATGGCTTGTTTAAACGATAATGTTTCTAAGAGGAATCCAACAAAGTGGATTTCAGACGATATTCAATTATTCTTTGAAATGTTCCAAAAATATGAATTAAAGAATAATGTTTGCCATGATGGTTGCTCCAACAAAATGAAGAGAGAAAAGAGTATACTGAAACGGAAGGAAGACCTTATTAGTCTGGGTTTAGTTGATCCCGACGCTGTATTTTTAAGGGCTAGAATATAGAGTATAGAATATAGAGGGGCTATATACTTTAAGGGCTAGAATATAGAGTATAAAAAAGACGTACAGACTCGAGTTGTTGGAGGTGATCACACTATCCATCTTCACAGACCTCACTCGACGGCTGCTAACGACGCACTGGCGGGCGCGAACGAGAAGATAGCGTCACCTTCTACTCTCCTCGTGTGTACAGGCTTTTTTACTTGCCGGATAGTCACCAAGCGACCGTCACTAGCCAGATTTATTAGCCGTCAGCACTATCCTTGTGTACAAGCACCTTTAGGTCAACCACTCTCACGATGTCAAGATAACACCGGCCGCACACAGTCAGTCAGCGGGGCTGGTAGACAAGTAAGAAGTCATGTCCATAGATTCAGGCCTGTAAATAATGTAAGAAGTAAACGCATGCATCAAAGTGAATGTGCAGAAAAAGATTTAAAATGTTTTTACACGAATGCGGATTCTGTTTTGAACAAAAAAAGTGAGCTGGTAACTGTGATCGAAAACGAGTGCATAGACATTATTTGTATTGCAGAAACACTCCCTAAAAATCATGGGGGGAAATTGTACCTAACGAATTTCAATTGCCAGGTTCTGATTGTTTTTATAACTTAAATGAAGAGCAGTGCAGTAGAGGTGTAGATTTGTGGGTTAGAACCTCTTATGGGGCCCAGCAAATCAAGTTATCTGCAGAGCATCAATCAGCTAGAGAATCAGTGTGGGGGCGAACTTTCTCTCAAGGCTAAGATAGGATAGCCTCCTCATAGGCGTCGTGTATAGATCACCAAACAGTTCCTCTGATAACGATAAAGTACTAAACAGTCTTTTACCGAGCATGGCTTTCCGTAGGTCACACTCGTTGATCGTTGGTGATTTTAATCATCCAGAGCTAGACTGGACAGATGGATCCTCTCCAAGGGATGAGAATCACCCAGCATCCTTGTTCATGGGGTCTGTGAGAGACTCCTTCCTAGTCCAGCACGTTACTAAGCCAACCCATCATAGAAATAAACAAACTCCCAATATTCTAGACCTGGTGTTTACTAGTGATGAATCAATGTTAGATGAGCTTCGTCACGAGGCTCCATTGCGGCAAAAGCCATCACCAATCGTTGTTTTTCAGTCTAAAGTGCTGTACAGAGAAGACGCCTCGAAAGCGTGAGCGTTTGAATTTTGCGAAAGGCGACTATGATAAACTCCGTGAAGCAGTGAATGCAGTGAATATTTCAAACTGTATTAAGGACATGAATGTGGCCGAGTCATGGTCATTTCTCAAGGACACGGTTATGTCTGCAGTTGATGCGTGTGTACCTAAAATTAAGCTTGGTGGAGCTAAAAACTCAGTGGATGAACAGTACAGTTCTAGCAAAGCTGAAAACAAAGAAGGAAGCCTACCAGCGTTACTTACAGACTCGTAGCGATGCTGACTATAACCTATACGCAAGAGCTCAAAATCGAGCTGAAGAAAGCTGTCGCACCGCAGTAAAAACCCTCTAAAAAATATTGCTAAATATGCAAAAGAGAACAAGAAAGCCTTCTTTTTGTACGCTAGCTCGAAGTGCAAGATAAAGGACGGTATTTCTGATTTGAAAGCAGATCAACGAAAGATATCCTCTGATGAGGGCATGGCTAACGTTCTTAATCAGTTTNGAACGCCTAGCATATTTCCGGATGACCACCAATCAGCCGCGGATTAAGCCATCCGTCGGTAACCAGCCCGTGACATCAACTTGCTTTAAATATTAGGAGCTTTACGCCACCATATTCTGAAGCGAATAGCCCAGAAAGTAATGGTTATGCACCACTGAACGTTGCATGGAATCATCACTTCATACCCGGACTTTAACTCGAATTGTAACTTGCGGACAACGGACTGTGACCAACCAGCCCAGGTCGCCAGTGGAACTGCATGCATCCTGCCGTGCACCACCAGACCGTCACTTTTAGCTCAACATCCGGGGTTAGGTTTCAGGAAGCATAGTTCTGTTCCAAACTCTATCGTCCGCCGGCGAGTGACTTCCGCAGCTTCGCTAAATTACGTAACTTTTAGCTCACAGCATCTGGGGTTAGGTTCCAGATAGCATAGTTCTGTTCCAAAATTTATCGTCGTACGACACGTGGCCGTTCGACCGTGGGCTGATTCGACACACGGGACAGATACGGACGGCTCCGGTGCGCTCCGTCCGGGTGGTGTAAAATTTTTTCGCGTGTTGGCAGGATGTGTTGTAGGGTACGTTCTTCAAGGAAGCGATCATGATAGTCCATTGGAAGCACGGCAGTGGTGGTCTCCGACAGGCGTCCCTTTCGCTTCTATCGTTGGTCTCCTAGAGTACAATTATCGTCAGTTTGTATCGTTGTTTAATTTATTTAGATCTTCACGGTTGTCCAGAATAGTATACCAATAGCTCGGATTTCTCGGTGAGAGTGCAAGACTAAGATGCAGATAACCTGGTGTTGTGCTTGATGCACCTTGCCTCAGCTGGAAGCCTCACATTGAAATGCTGAAAACATCTTGCTTGCCGGTACTTAACCTACTGAAATCCATATCCCACAGGCACAGGGGTGCTGATCGTTATAAACTTCTAAAGCTCTACATGGTTTATTTCGTAGCAACTTGATAACTTCTAAAGCTCTACAAGGTTTACTTCGTAGCAACTTGATTACGTCTCTCCCTTCTACGCATCTGCTGCTTAATCGCACCAATCCAGAGGAATGTAATCCAAAACAGTAGCATCAGAATCGCTACAGGCTGTAGTAAAATAACTACAATCATTAGCTTAGCAATTGAAGCGAATATGACTTCTCATAAAATCCATAGAGACCAATTATTGTGCAAATACTATTCCAGACTACGGCAGCTCCCCGAGTGCCCAGCCACCAATGAACTCTTCCTTGCCACTTGCCAGGCACGTCTGTCCAGAAAATGGGCACTGTTCCTCATACCTGAGCATTATTCAGCAGCGTTGGCTCTCTTGTCCACATTTTATTGCTTCCCCTTTAATTTCACCACTGCCTCCATGATTCAGTGTTGTCAACAATATTTTTACCAACTTCATCCTTCATGTGGTAATTCCATCCAGGAGAGTTTCTCTCAATTGGAAGCTCCGCCCAGAGATACAAGTATCGGAAGCGGAACTACATGTATTTGCTATACATGAGGCTCTCACTTGGGCCCAAAATAACCTTTTGAATGATTTTTTTAAATATAAACTAATTAACAAAGCTCTGTTTCTGATCCAGTCCATCCACAGCCACTGCGGAATACCTGGAAACGAAGCGGCAGATCTTGCTGTCTGATAAGCCCACACCCTCCTCTAACGTACTGTGAGCCCACACCCCCGAGCTGAGAAGAGCTGGTGAAGTCGATAGAGGATGCTATTACTGTTAGTTGGTGCACATCATTGCACCAGTAAATAGAAAGATCAGTAAGGGGTCTCTTCCTTGCTCAGGTCACGGACGGTCTAGGCACATGACTGAGGGCCTCTTACCCAAGTTGGGCAATTGAGACAACCATAGCTCATCTACGTGCGGGTCAGGCTGGTATGTGGTCACACCTGACTCGTTATAAGGCCAAGCTCCCAACCTACTCTGCCCCTGTGGCTCAGTAGAAACTATTCATCACCCTATTTTTGAATAGTACTAGTCTACAGGTGCCCTTGGTTATACAATCATATCTGAGCCGGTACCTAGTTCGGTGCAACGGGCGCCTTTCAGTTGGCCGATGAATGACTAGAACTTATTGGCCTTGGCCGATCACTGGCCACGTATTATTCCACGCCCCTCATAGAGCTCCCCTTTACCGTACCGCCTGGCGTGGACTAGCAGGTAAGAAATTTACGACGTCTTTTTCCCCTCATACCTTCCACAACGCCCTAATTTTAGCAGTTACTATACTCCATATGAGAGTATGCTCGTATATAACTAGTTTTTGGTGATAGATATCTACAAAATGGAGGTTGATTCAGATATGTATTTAATACCGTTCAATAGAGAATACAGAGCTGCGCTGCGCGAGAATAACCAGTCAGCCGGCATTCCTTCTCCAATAACTCCTGAAATTTTTTTGAATGGGCATTAATTAAAGCCACTCATTTAGTCCCAGTCAAACGTGAACTCTATCGGCCCGCAGAGCATGAATTGCGCAACTCATCATCCATCTGTTAGAATAATCAAGCTAAAATCTCGGTTTACGGGTAATGTGATATGTATAAATTCTTCGGTTAAATTCATTGCCTCAGCAGTCAGCAATGCAACATTTTTGTTCACTGGGCCCGTCTCCATCATTTACATCGTGAATTATCTCTTAATGTTATTTTATTTGCCTTTTTTCCAATTGGCACAAGAGGGCATATCTTAGGGGAAAAATCATGGAAAAATGAAGGCAAAGGCAAGGCATGTTATGTTTATTGGAATTCAGGTACATCATCAAGTGCCGCGGCGTGACACGCTTCCAGCACTCTCCTTACAGACAAGAAATTCGTACAGGCAACGCAAAACAATCAAACGGGAATCAAGATGAAAATATGTACAATAGTTATACGTTTTGGGTATGAAAAACAATAAGGGGCAAGTAGAGGCGCGGCTCTAGCGTAGGGTGTGAGGCTGACGCCTCCTGCTGCCAGCAGCTTCTTCTTTAGTTCCTCTTGTGGGCTGTAGAACGTGAGGCGTTCGCAGCGGGTGAGGGTGATAGGCGGTGCCTGGAGGTCTTGCAGGACAAGGTTATACTCAAACCTGCACATTGGTGACATGGTTTAAACGTGCCAACAAATTATATAAACTCACAGACTTTTCATCCAGCATTATTCAGATAAAGGAAACAATACATAAAATATGAGCAGCGTTGTCCATACAACAGTGACAACCTGCTTTATTCTACCCATGAATTTATCTGAACACCATCAATAAACTTCTAATATATATTATGTAGGAGGACAGTATAAAATTAACATCATCAATTCACAATTATGTTCAGGAATTAAAACAGGAAATGATCAAGGTACCTCATTTGTTTCTTGTTCTTCAAGAAAACGTCCACAGGAAAATAGAATGCTGCATACCCCTTCTCAGTAATGATGAAAGGAGGCGTCTGGAGGGCTGCAAGGGCAAACAAAAATACAGTAAGACAACATGCACACTGCAAGTGAACAAAAAGAGGATAGTGCCATTGAAGGTATTTAGACAGGAGCTGTTTCTTTATTACAATTATTTCTGAACAATGATGGCAATGAACTTGATTAAAGTGCATAGCTGGATCAACAGATGGTGACCAAATAATGAAGACTGATGAATGGGCCATGGTACAATTCTCACTGTATGAATATGACAAATTGTATTATGTCAAGTGAATACATACAAGAAAGTTAAACATTATAAAATTCCATTTAACTAAGCTCTTTTACAGGAACTAAAGCATTGATAGAGATGAAAAAGAGCCTCTGAATTGTCACAACTGCACTCAGCTACATTCTTATAGCTGAAGTATAAAATGTATTTCAATCATAATGAAAGATAAAGCCACCTTCTCCAGATGGCACAATTGGCACTGGTTTATACAGCAGGAAGGTAAAATGCATTGCAAATGATGAAAGACAAGAACTCACTTCTCTTGGGCCCCTTGAAACTTTCATGTAGATTGAAGACAACCTTCTCTACAATATCAGCGAGGCTGCGATCATTCTCCCCCCTGACCCACACACTCCACTCGTGGGTGAAGCCCTCTTTAGTTACATGCTGCAGCACCCGGGCAGTGTGCCCGAGCTCAATGCTCACTGCCACTACACTCTGTTGAAAATTGGTACAGGTGTGAAGTAGGCTGGGTAAATACAATTTTACCTTGTAAATACAAGGTAAAATGTCTTAAAAGATATCAGCCTAAAGAGCATATCATCAGCCTAAAGTAAATATCTTCATGGGCCATATGCTGAACTGAACAGTTAAGTCAGAGTCAATCATGAAGAACCAAACTTCAGGGATATCTCTAATGATAAATCACATAAGGCATCACTAAGCTTCTATTTACAATGCAATTCTCAAGTAATAATTAGATTACATAAGAAATTCTTTTTCATCCTCAGGAAATTTATTCAGCCCCACAAAATGTAGCCATGCCACAACACCCTCATTAAATGTCAAACCAGCCATCTAAATAATGCCTGGCAAGTTCCAGATTTGGAGTTCGCCTTTGCACCTCAGGAATTCCAAAGCTCTGAGTCCATTTTGTTACTGAATGACCCTATGGCTTCCCATCATTTTACCTCCTATTTTAATATTCTTATATTTTCTGCATAGAGAACAAAATGAAGAAAAAACTATTCATATTAAAATGAAATGTGGTTAGCAATTAGCAAACTTACCATTGCCATTCTTAGTGAGCTGCAAAGAGTTGAGAAGAGTAGCTAAGTTATAGAACACTAAGAACTCTTTATAAAATCAGAGAGTTGAGAGAATATAGCCTGATATATTTAATCATTAATTGAATATGAATCACAAGTAAGTATATGCCTCTTCAACCTGAAATGGAGGAGTTGGGTGAGCACAAGCAACACAAATATAACTTTCTTTGCATATTGTGTGATCATTTAATAGAGATATTTCAAAGTCCTGCAGTATTATGCAGACTGAAATCATTTAGGAATCTCATGCTTATAAAATACATTGGCACTAGCAGGTTTGCCTGTCATTGCCTAAGATCTATAATGCCAGCTATTTTACAAACTTATTGTACTAAATCATTTAAATATGAATATAACAATGCATGCTATTTACAGCATGCCATGTTCTAACTCATACCTTACACACATCATAGAACTCATATTTGGATCTAGTTTTAAAATAGAAAAAACTAAATTGTTTTTTAAAAATTTTTTTTTCTGTTTTAAAAACTCCACTGAAATAAAATTAAGAATATTTTACAGTAGATACTAGAATATTACAGAAATATACTGATCAGTAATGAACAGAAACATTGCAAGCATCAGTAAACTTGAGAGTAATTATCTTGGAGGCAAACATGGAATTATTTCATGTATAAGAAGCAGGTTCCCAGGACCAAGAGGCGTCCTGATCACACTTGCCCTTGTAATGGGCTGTCACTCTTACTGCTGGAGAGTGGTGGTAACCTTGATCCCACTTGGGGAAGTAACTCTCCCCCAGTTAAGAGTTATTGTAAAATTATTTTGAATCTTGAAATTCATGGTAAACAATATCTATATTTTTGTTATCAGTGCCCTCCATCTCATTCTCTTTGCAGACCATTATTTCATGCACCAGTGTTGAATCAAGTTCCAAATCTCCCATCCGCCATTATCTCTTACTCACACTACTGCTTGTGGCTGGTGCCAAGTTATACCTTTTTATACCTTTATAGTTATACCTTTATACCTAGTTGCCAAGATATACCTTTTCAAATCACTGCTCATACATACATTGATAAAGGCTTTAATGCCATGTTTTTGAGATTACTGTTCTAGATGAGAAATATATTTATCTGTTATCCTGCTGGATAGTTTATTTTGTATACCTATATGTTTTGAAGTTTGAATTGATGATGTGTTTAATAATAGTTGTGTTAGGTGTTTATAGTGTAAATATTTTACAGAAGCATCTTCAAGTACTTTCACAGAAGCCAAATTATGCTTAAATAACCTACAGGTAATTCATGTAACAAGACAATCTCCATATTTTGTGTGCCAAAAGCAGTGAATCAAGTGTCAAGGAATGTTTAATGATATTGAAGGGGATGATACGTATATAAAGTATTAAATGACCAGTGAAAAAATGTGCAATGGTCATAATTGGATATTTACCACACTAATGAAACATAGTTACAAATAGAATAGTAACAGATAAAACATAATTTATACCTATTCTTTATACCTACCTAGCTGATTTCAATTAGAGCTGATAAGCACCTTACAAAACTTGCTCTAGCATAGGGGTTGGTGATTTGGAGCTTTCAGTAGACTAATAAAGTTTTCCATGTAATTGCAAGGTTTGCTGGTGAATATATAAACTAATAGAAACTAATAATATTTGAATATTAACTAATAATTAAATATAGAATTCTAACCCTTTATTTAAATAAATTTAAAATATATAATGTAACTGCCTCTAACTTGAACAGCATTTGTAACTTAAACAAAAATATAACTACATTAAATATTAATATAATAATGTAATAAAGTCATGACGGGTTTTTCTCTTTCTCTCAATTGTTAAAGCTTTGAGTGGAAAATAGCAAGAGTATACAAAATTCATGCGAGTGCAATATTCCCGCAAATTATTATTGTCAACTAATAGAAAATTTGAAGTCATATTTTGTGCTTATGTTGGTTATTGGCAGCTATTTTGGTGTGTACATTCTTTCTGCCAATGGGCATTTAATGAAATTCAGTGACTAGGTGTAGAATTAAATTAAATATTGAGTCAACTTCACCTGCAACCAACCAAAGCTTATTTCTTCCTATTTTTATGGTTCACAATCTTGCCTTCCATAAATAGGCAAAGACACATTGTAGTAAACATTTTATAACATATTTAAAAAAGGACAAATAAAACCCAGGGCAGCAGACTTGATTCTGCATTTCTTAAACTGATAAAAATTTGACAGAAGCAACCAAGTAAGGAAAAGTTACTGATTATGTTACTAATAATATTGTAATTTACATGTTATGCATATATTTGCAAAATAACACTAAATTTACAGCACATTCTAGCTGTGCAGATGATGGAATGATTTTGAGAGAAAATGAGAAAATTATACATATGAAAAACTGCATATTTAATAATTTTAAATACAACTTATAGCAGGGAATGCAATGCAAGGTACTGCAGAAGAAGAGCCAAGTACTAGTTGTAAATGCAAGAGCTAAGGAATGGACCGGATGCATTTGCATGGATTAATGGTGAAGCTGATCAGACTGAATGTAGTATATTTATTATATATGCAGATAAGTGGCAGGATAGATGCTAGCAGCCCCAGCTGAGCTGGAATGCAGATAAGTCAAAATCCAGGGAGATAAGAATGACAGCAGACGTGGTATTTAAATTAAGAAGGGAACACATGATGTGAAATGAAAGTTTATTGCAAGATGTAGGTATAGTACAGAACAGGAGACTGAGCAAGTGGGAATGTGTCATCCAATATTGAAGGAGTGGGTTAACTAAAACACCTCCTGGTGAAGCATAATGCATAGGAGTGATGAGGCTTGCAATATTAGAAGCCATGTGGGGGGTATTAATAAACAACACAACCACATCAAAACTCCCATGATACCAGTGAAGGCCCGGGACAGCCATAATCGTCCTAATTGACATTCTCCTCAAGTCATCACTACCCTCAAACTAGGAGAAATATACAAGACATTCCAGCTGGTCTAAATCTAGGCCTCTCTAACACATAGCCAATGCTTAATAATTATTAACCATATGACAAACTCTGCTGGATCTATTTCATATATAAGTGACAGCGTTTCAAGTATTATTGTAACTACTGTCCATGATTAATGGTGCACTAGTCAACATTCAAGCAACACTGGAAAATCTGGTAGGAGCATCCCATGGAGGAGCAAACACTGCCTATGCCAACTAACAATTTCACCAATCTTGCTTACCCTTACCCATAAATTTTCTGAATGAATTAACTCATTTAATTTTTGAAATGAACTAGGAGGTGGATAGCTAAACTCATACCTAACAGCGAATGAAGCCATTATTATTTTCAATGATAAATTGCCTCCACCATAAATTGCATATTCTACCAATTTTCTGCAACAGATATTCATCAGGAAAATTAGTATAACTGTTCCTTCAATATGACCCATGCCCTTTGGTTTTAACTCTACTTTGTACCATCCAAATTGAATAAAAAAAATCGTTAATTTTCATTTTTTTTAAACTACTTATGAAATAAGCAGTTTTACTAGTAATTTCCAGAGAAATTTTCCCCTTAATTATACCACACTATCAAGCTATCAAGTCTCAATTTGGCAGATGTAGAATTAATTTTCATGCCGTGCAGTAATTTTTATAGCAATGAACTTTTTTCTCCAAGCTACAAACTCAATTATTTTTTTTTTTTAAAAGGCCTCCCACACTCACCATTCCAACAAAAAAAAAATGAATTGATTTTATTAATTAAAAACAGGGAATGGTTTCATGTCAATGATTACTCAATTACTACCAGTTAGTTTAACACAAGTTTTCAATTTTACTTCAACATTGCCATTAAAAATCTTTTTCTTTCCTCCCAACTCAATCCTGTTGGTGATTTTCCCAACTTTTTCTTTTCATGTTACAAATCATTTTCACTGTTATAAGCTTCCTGACATGGCCAGCAATAAAAGAATGTTGATGAAAAGGCTCAAGGCATAGGGGACTGGGGAAATGGAGACTTCAGAGATCAGGAAAATCTCAAAGTACCAAACCACAGAATTCCATATTTTCTGGTATCCTATTAGCAAGCCATGACATTTCCCATCAAACCAAAATTTTTGAATACTTGGAGCCACAAGATTGATTTCACTAAGATCATACAATCTAGTAGCTGCAATATTTCAGCTAAGACTGGTCCCTTAATCTTGAATATTAACATGCCCAATTTCAAGGTGGAATTTGAGCAAGATAACATATAAACAGATAAATTTACCTTCTTGGATCAGAAAACCTGAATGGGACCTCTCCTCTAGGGTCTAGAAATAATCTTATATTTTTTCATGAAGCACAGAGCAAGCAAGGTGGAATTTATGACCAGCAATATATGAACACCAGCAATATATGAACAAATGCACTAGTTGTATGAGATTGTAGAACATGTAATCAGACTTTACTTACATACCACATCAAGCCAGCGATTCTGCTTGATTAATAACATATATATATATGACCCACTGATTCTAATATTTCAGCCTGCATGCAGCAAGTAAGAGACCCAGCAGGATCAGGTTTGAATTGAAAGCATAATCATTACTTTCCTAGAATTCTGGCCTTTCCAAGAAGCAAAGGGCTCATCAATAATTTCTGTACCTGGCTAGAATGACCTAGAATTTATGAACCACAATTCTTAGAATTCCATCCTACATAAAAAAAATCCCTTTCTGAGCAGTGATTAGAGCTGTTTTACACTTTATGGAGCCTAAAAATTATAAGCAGCAGAATTGCTTTGTATAAAATTATTAAAACAAAGGGATTGAGCTGCAAAATCTAAAAATAAATGAAAAAATCATTTTTTGGAGTTACAATATTTTATAAGCATATTTTTCTATCTTGCAACAAAAGGAGAATGGTGGAGTCTATGTGTGCAGGAATGGAAATATAAACTTTGTGCCATGAATACAGGATTGATTTAATTGTATTTTCATTATTT